AATCCTGAACTCAAAGTCATATGTTGTCAAATATGTAAACAGGCTTATGCACCAGACTTTGTTGCTACTCACTTGGCCTCTGTGCACCCAGGGGTTTTACTGGACCACAATCAATTTGTCAAGGCCATCAACTCCATAGAAATTCTTCCAAGTCTACCTCTTGTACAGAGAGGTTTAAACCAGCCTATATACAAAGGCCTAAAAACCTTCAAGGGCATTGTTTGTAATGTTTGTTCCTTTGCATGTGGATCAACACAGTATATGAGTTTGCATCACACTACAGAGCATTCCTCTGTTACCAACCTTGGCCATTGGAATCTTTGTACAATGCAATGATTGAATACTGGCAGAAACAAACAGTACTGGCCAGTAGCTGATGTTGTTGATGCTGCACTCCCTGCAATTGAAAGTGCAATTCAAAGCTGGAAAGAAGAGATGGCTATGGTGACTACAGTGGAACAAGTCCCTCAAGATTCTCGTATGATAAGCCCATGGTTAAGGACAACTAAATGGCATGAACACATTTCTGGCCATGAAGTGCCATATCTACAAAAGCTTGTAGCAATTCCCAAAGCAAGCAATGAAGAGCTCCCTGGACTATGAGATGCTGTGTTGGAATACTTTCAACACACGTCAACACTACTAGAGGCAACAGATGAGCTTGTATTGCAAAGGCTCAACTCACCAGACCCATTGAAAGAGTAAGTGAGACCATCTAGTGATTGAGAACACTAATCAACCCCTCCTACAGTGGCATCAGTAACACACTATTACACAGACATCAGTTGACCACAACACTGAAAGAATACACTGTGCCAATAGTTGCACTCCTAGCATTGCTTATACAAGCAAACAACAAAGGCTCTTATCAGCTACCATTGCCAGAGGCTGTAGATGACTGCATAGGGATACTGCAGGATACCTTGGAGAGCAAAGAAAACACTGTCAATGTGATTCACTCTGTTCTGAAGAGCGTTCATCAGGAAAAACCCTTTTGCTATATAGCGCTATATAGCCACCACTTATATATATAAATGCACTCATAGAAACTATAGTACTATTAGTGCAATTATAGCTCTTATAGCTCTTATAGCACAGTAGTAGGCAAAATTTTAACCAAGGGGAGAAGTGTCTATAATTCCCTCAAACTCTGGATTAATCAAATAAATTTGTTCAATAATAGAAAGAGGCCAGAAGTGTTTGGAGTCAAGTATATTATTATAGGCAAGGTACTATAAGTGCTCTTATAGCCTACATAGCTCCTATAGTTGTAAAAGTCATAGTTATAATATAGTTGAAGCTGCTTAAAAGGGCTAATAAATCATACAGTATTAATCAATTATGTAGCCTGTATTAGTGAAATAGTAGTTTGTATCTTTGATATTTATAAAAATGAGAATAATGATTTATCCAAATATAAGTGGTGACAATGAGTAACAAAATAACCTAAGTCCATGAAAGGTCAATGTATGACACCTGTATAACATATTTTAAAAGCTCTCATGGTGTAGTGGATAAATGTGTGATGTGTGGCTCTAAGTTGCTTAGTCACCCACAAGCTGACTAGCAGGTTGAGAGTTCAAATCCTGCCTGAGTTAATTTTTTCTATCAGCCACACAACAATTTCCAACATCTATAAGAGCATTTATAGAGCTATATGAGGCTCTATAGATGGCAGAGGTTCTATAGCAGGTTTAACCGCTATAACAGCTTTATGAGCACTTATAGTGCTATAGAGCTCTATATAGCTACCCCCATTTTTCCTGATGTGACTTTGGATGAGAAAATGGGTCAAGACTGAGGACAATCTTTTCTTGTCCAACAGAACGTATGATGGCTCTTACCAATCTAGAGGCTAATGGTGGTCACAAAGAGCCAATCCACATCACCAATCACTTTGCCAAGTTGGAGTATTGTATACGCTTGATGTGTCTGAAGGAAATCAAGACCCTCAGTGCCTCTCAGTTGGATGGCGATGATGAAGCTACATGTGATGTGCTTCAGCCTTGGTTTACTGAGAAAACCAACTCACCCTTCAGCCAAGTACAATCCCTCCAACACCAGGCATCTACCATTGCATTTACCACAATGAGTCTGCCACGTGTTTGGTGGACAGACAATAAAAGGTGGCAAGAAATGCTTTACAAGGGAGACAACGTGCACATCAATCAGTTGAGGTTGATGTTTGGTTCGATGGAAAAGCAAATGGTGAAACTATGGGAAGATAAAGTACTGGCCGGACTCAATATCAGGATACGCTATGAAGACCAATGTTATGCACCAAAGTTGATTGGTAGCATTAGCATGGACAGGTGTCAAAAACAAAGCAAATGTTCAAGAAAGACTCGCCTTTGGCATTTTGGCAAATTTTTTGTGTCGCCACTGGCTACACATTGCATTGCGCCCTCACTTTTGTCGTTTCCTTCACTTCCCTTCCTTTGCCTAGCCCCACCATGGGTCCCTTACTCTCGTTTTTATTCTCACCTGACGGTTGTTTCTGAATCCCTATTTTAGTTCACCTCCTTGTCACCTCCACCCTCCTCCTCCTCCTCCTCATCTTCTTTGCTTCCCCACCATTTCTGATGTCACCACTTCCTATCCGCTTCCATTGCCAATCCGTCAACTACCACGTGCCACTGCTGATATCAGCAAAGCCCTGGCAGCCAGTCCAAATAGGGCAACAGGTCCATCTTCATGACGTCAATCTGCCATCATATACTATCAAAACATTGGCCGCTCGTCTTGCCTGGTTGGAGCGTGGGTGGGTAGTTTTTGAGCTGGAGAAGGTTTATCCCCTTGCGTTGCCCATGTTCATTGCTGTCCCATTCACTTGGGTACACTTATCTTTCATCCATTGTCTTTGCTACAGCTACATCTACCACATGCTGCCTGGGACTCACTTCTTCCAAATTGGGACTACTCCTCTCCCTCCCTCATTTGACCAGGTGGTCCAACACAACCAGTCCATTGGTAAGGCCATGGAACTGTCGGATTTGGACTAGGTGGTGGACCGGTGGCTCCAGTTTCTTTTTTTTCAGCAGAACATTTATTTACAGTGCGATTATTTTTGATTTTTGAATCATTTTATGGACACATATTTTTTTAGAATGCCTGACTGACAATAAAGGAACTGTGTTGATACTGATAGTGTTTTGCCTTGCCCTTTTTTTACTGCATCTTCCCATGACATCATGATTTTCCTGCTCTCTTTTTGCTATTGGACTTTATTTTATGGCTGTACAAACCTGTGACATGGCTCACAGCATTCATTGTTCTATCCCTTTCTTTTCCTTTTTTTGACAATCTTATCCTGTACTACCTACGCAGGATTTGTCAGCGTACATTCCTTCCTTCATGTTCTTGTTCATTCTTTTTGCACAGCTATACTGTGCATAGCCTACTTTTCTTTCACTATATAAACCCCTGTATTTTACCTTGTAAAAAAACAAGAACCCAAATCCAGACTTTTTCTCTAAATCTCAAGTTCACTACTCTGCTACTTGTGATCCAGTGTGGTCACAATACTTCCCACTGCTACCACTGTTAACTGCTGTCATCATCACTTGTCACTTTTTTTTTGAAAGTGATTATCATCCCTTTTGATTAGAATCTTTCTGAGCACTACAGTCTGTGCGTCAGGAGCCTGCTATCACTGGGAACTTTGTCACCTTGTCACATTGTCATTCTCAAACCTACCTTGTGCTACAATTAGCAAGGTAGTGCTTGTCTATACTCGCCACAAACCCCCTATATTTCTATATTCCAACTATCCCTCCTCCTCACAACCCACACCCATACATCACTGGGTTTTAATTTGAAGGATTGTTATATGTACCACCCCACAAACAACCAGACCACTCCACTGTTCTAGGAGGCAAAGCCCATAAACAAGTTCCGTGGAATCTGGGGGGATTGTGTGTTAGTTTGTTTTTGTGTGTGGTTTTCTAACAGCAGTTCTCATCATCAATACCGGACTTGGATACTCGCCACAATCAGATCAAGTCAACTGGTACCAGTGGCAACAGCACGTCTATCAATGGCCCAGGTCACTGGCATCAGCTTCTGCCGGCTAAATCAAAATGTGGGAGGCAGCAGATGTCCTCTGGCAGGTTTGGCACTTTGATATATCTGGCTACAAGTACGGTTTACCACAGTATTAGGGATGACGCTATTGAGGATATGCACCCATGCACTCAGTTTAATGTCCTCAAGGGTTGGGCCTCCGATGTCGCCACTAGTGCCAAATCTCAAAAAAGAGGGAGTAGTACACTCATCAGCGGTGACATCAGGAAAAACCTAGTTTCCTTTTATAGCTATCATAGCTGTTATAGTGCTATATAGGGAAAATAGTAGCTATAGTACGCCTAGACAAGTCCCTATTATATAGCTCTATATAGCAGGGCTATTTTGAGATGTTTGCTATACCAGCTATAGTATCACTTCTGTGATATATACAATCTATTTCTACTATGGTTGCTCTCATAGAATATAATAGATATAACAACCATCAATGGTTATTTCAGAATAGTCATATTATATATGTTCCACAAGCTTATCATAGTTTTCAAATTCTCTCAGTTTCATTCACTATTATTATAGCATCCTAGCCAGAGATCATATGCAGAGAATCTATTATAGTATATTTCTGATACCATATAATGACATGCATGTATCAACAATTATAAGGATGCTGAATCTTCAAGCGCTGCAAAATCAACCTCATCCTCCCAGTTATCCTCTTGTGCATTCAAGTACTGTAAATCACACTGTTGACTGTGTGTAATGTAATGCTTATGAGTGTTGTTCTAAAATAATTTGGTAGGCTACTCACAAAATATCGTTGTAAGTGTTTTTACAAAACTGCAAAAACCACCTAGGAGCTTTCCTTTGTAGCTCTTCTAACCTGGACAGATAAGTGAGGGAGTAACTTGCCGTGAGCTACTTGCCGTGAGCTTTCTTCTGATGATGCTGCATTAGTAAAACTTATAGCTAAGGTTGAGTTACTTGCCTGTCAAGCGTCTAAAGATCTGCATCAGAGCATCTTCATCTTCATCTTCTAGTTCCTCTTCCATGCTATTCCTGGCCCTCTTATGAAGAGGTTCATCTTCACTATCAATGTCAGGCCTATCCAAGTCTCCTTCTTCCTCATCATCCTCAGCCTCCACCATGTGAGCTGCTTTCTGACGAATATCTGGGAAGTGTACTATGTAATGGACATGATACATAACACATATTAAATGACTCACCTGCTAGCCTGTCAGCATTTGCATCCTTTCCAGATGCTTGCAACTTCTTCATCAGTTGGCTGTATAAGATTTCTTCATCTCGTGTAAGCCCATCAGAAGAGTTTGATGTCCCTTGAGCCCTGGAATGTTTAGTTAAAGGCTTCTTGGACTTACTCCCCTGAGTTTTGTTCTGTCCAGATCTTGTGCTACCAGCCATCACCAAAATAGTAGACAGAGACAGAGGTAAAAGATATAGAAAATGAGGAATTAGCAAACAGTAGAACATTTCATCCCTCACACCTTTCAACTTTCTTCTCAAAAGTGATACAACAAACAAATATACACTAGTACAATTAGTGACAAACTCTGGATCAAACAACTGGTAAACATCTAAGAGTATCAAGGTCAAAAAAACAAAATGCAGTACAAAGTCCATGGTTATCAATGTAAAAAAGAATGACCAGCCCATCCATTTTGCCCATTCCTCCAATTATCCATCTCCTTGTCAGTTTGCAAGACAATTGAGCCAGCCTGCAACCAAAACAAGGGCATAGATAGATCCTACATAAATCTGTAAGTATGGTTTAATGCGGACAAAGGTAATCTTACCACCGGCTGCTATGGCTGCAAACTTGCAGCCCATAGCATGCCATTGCTCAAACTGTTTCTTAGACGGCTTAGGCTGAGGGAGATCCCTCCAAAGGTTTGCCAGGGAGATACCTTGCTGAGAGCAAAGACTAGCATACAAACATAAACATCAGAAAGAAATGATAATTATCTGTAACAATTTTCACTTACCTTTGGGACTTGGCAACGAGCTGAATGTAGCTGATCATCAGCAAAAAGTTGACACCTATGTCTTTACTGGTCATGCGCCAACAGCGCGCCACAACAGAAGCCAAAGACTCATCTAGGTAGTCATTGGTGGACGTAACAGAGGTCAACAGGGAGTTGACAGAGTGCGCCCACTCTCCTGAGTTGAACATTGTGGAGTCTTCATGTGCAGCCGCAAGCCGTGCTATGAAAGTGTTGGCGGCTGAGTTGATCCTAATAGCAGGGTCATTGACTGCTTGCCACAGAGATTGCTGGACAGCAACTCCACCCCTTGGACAAGGCCGTCAACGTGCAGGAGCTGGAGCAGGGGCTGGAGCAGGTTGTCGACATGCAGGAGATGGAGATCAACAAGATCGATGTGCAAGAGTAGGAGTAGAAGCTGCAGCAGCATACAGGTGTTGATGTGGTTGGCGTCTTTGTGAGCGTATCACTGCCAGAGATTGTTGCAGAGATTGATTGGTCTGCAATTTGGACTCGTCAGCTTGAGTTTGCTGTGGAGAAAAAATAGTCAGTAACATCGGCATTAGGAGGGGAGAGCCAACATACCTCTTCACCAAAGCGGGCTGGGGATGATGTTGTTAGGTCTTGATGCATGGTGACAGAAGGTGGGCTGTCAGAGAGTGACAATGGAGCCATTGAGGATGGAGCCACTTTGTCTAGCAGTGCAGAGAGGTCAGCAGGAGTGAGCGTGCTTAGGATACCCACCAGTTGGGCATGAAAATCCTTCAGCTCTGTTGGCAGTGGTTGCTGACCCAGTATCTGAGCGAGGATCTTGACCTGTAGTGCCGGAATAGTAAATCTGTACATCTTCAGTATACTACAAAGACTGTGGGAAAATGTATGGCAGCCTGACCTTGGTTACACAACAATATGATAAGGTGTTGCAATGCTGATAACGTGAAATCAGCAATCTGCTGGACCGTGTGAGAATGGACGGTCAGACTGTCCATTCTCACACGGTCCAGTATTGTCCCAGCAAAGATAAGATTAGATGAGCTGTGCAAGAATGGACGGTCAGACTGTCCATTCTCGCACGGTCCAGTATTGTTGTTCCAGCAAAGATAAGATTAGATCACCCAATGAGCCGTGCGAGAATGGACGTCTTTGGATGTTTGTGATAGATTTCTATTAGGCTAGTTTGTATGCATACCAAACTATTTGGTGAATATTAATTCTATCATTATTAGTATCAGAAAAAGGTTCTCATAGACATAAATGAGCTGGTATAGCTGGTATAGCTGACATAATAACTATAAGGCTTCACATAGAAATTTATTGGTTATAATAGGAATTGAATTACAGCCGGCTGTGATCCCATTTGGCCTGAATACCGTGTGTGTTTTACAGTGGTATGTTGTGTGTGTTTGTACAGCCGGGTATTTGTTGGCTGCCCCGTATAGCTGCTGCATACTGGGCTGGCTTACAAATCAGAGGTATTATCCTATGGAGTATTGGTATGTCAGAGTATATTCTAACATATACTACTACAGGTTTGTTTGTACATATATATTATACAGTTGATGAAGGCAGTGGCTGATGATGTCATGCCGCACAGCCCGTGTGACCAACTCCACTGCGTGAGATACCAAAAATAAGAAAAAGGCAGCACAGCGCAAGAAGTGGAGTTTGAGCAATAATGGAAAGTCCCACATGGCACAGGGTGTGAAAACTACAAAAGAAAGTTGAAGAGGAGAATGAATTTTAAAGGTCCGAAAAATGTGTTATTGTAACACTCAACTGGGGCATTTCCCGAAATATTGACCTCCGCTGAGGTCTGTTCTGTATGTCAACTCAGCTGCCCTCAGGTTTAGACCTTTGCAAATTGACTAAAAATCTGATGATCTCATCAGTCTGAAAGGCCACACAGGCGATAAAGCTGCCAACATGTTAATACAATGAAGTTCAATCTTGATGGAACTTGTAAGTAGATACATTGAATAGAAAACAAAAAATAGCTTTGTCAGTCTATGCAACAATAAGAAAAAGGAATTTCATCAAAAAAAATGATAATAGAGGATACTTATAAATATGTGTGCCATTGTTTCCAGCATAATCAGTAACAGTGTGGACAGGAGGAAAGATTGTTTAGATTGATAATAAAATATCATAAAGTCAAGTCTGATGTTGATTTTGATGATCATGGAAACAGATTGGAGTGGACCAGGAGCAGGAATTATCACAAGAAGAGTCCTGTAAGAAAGTGTGCAGAGCAAGCTTAGTACAGACTTTTTGGAACTACATATTAGTAACACCAGGCTGAAATAGGCTGCAGCACAGTATTTGCAACATTCCAAGGTTTACAGCAAAAAATGTTACCTGAGATAATTATAGACACCCTACCTGTAGTAGTAGGAATATAGTATCTATTCCCTAGTGAGCTATTTTATTTTACCCTGCATATCATCATACTACTTGTTTCTTGCTGTTTTTTTTAAATTTCCTACAATGATTTCAATGGCACCTAGCTGGATGGTTAGCTTACCTCCCTTCTAGTGTATAAGAGACCTCTTGTAGTAGCTAGAGGTGGTATTCTTAGAATCAACTGTGAATTTGTTGTTCTCACACTGGCTCACTTGGGAATTCTTTCAACTCTCTTTTTGCTGTGTGACATTCTGTGTGACCATTACAGTTGAATGATTTGCCTGTGATTAGTTCTTGGCTTTGTTTATGTGTGAAGGAATGAATGACACAGGCACATATTCCACAACCTCACTTTGGCTTTGCATATGAGATTGCTACAGACATTGTTGGTGTCAGGTCTAGCATGATTGCTAACAGGTGTAGTAATTCAGAAGCCAGAGGAATGGATGCATGAGAATAGATATGTCAACTTCAAAATAGTCCTGAAAACTGCTGGTATTTATTTGAAACTTATCTGTGTGGTGGTGACTCAACCAATACCAAACTTTGTAGAAAAAGGAAGGTAGGGGTAAAGCCAAGTTTGACTTCAACTACTATTATAACTACTATTGTTACGATCACATTTTCAGAACCTATGTTTTCCTTTTCATTTTCGAACTCTAAAGTCATGTGACTTACTATATGGAGATATTACATAAGCTGGACACATGGTGAAGTCACAAGACCAATCACGTGACAGGACATGTGATTGCTTACATCATCAGTCACATGACATGACATCACTACTTATTAATATAGACAATGACATCATATAGAATACGATGGAACATCATGGAACATTACTAATACTTACATTAACTGTACAGTACCACATGTATTCACTATATAAACCCTTGCAATAGATGGAAGCTCCTCAGCGAGTCTTCCTGTTGTTTACTCACAACACACTTGTTCTTCCTACTAAGCTTGCTAGCTTAGGCTGAGTATACCAACTCAGACCCTTCATCGTCCTTCAGAGTTCGGCGTGTGCACCAGAGTATACAAACTTTGGGTATTGTTACAACTATTGTCTGACCAAGTCAATAATACAAAGTAACAAATATAATAATATAAAGGTTGGGATTGTATTACATACACTGTCAAATGAAGACCCCAGGCTTGCCATTGTTCAACTGTGACATACCACTTAAGACATTCTTTCAACAGGGAGATTGTCTAATAATGGTAGTGAGTATGAATTTATGGTGCTGCCCAAGATCATCACTCAAGTGTTCAAAAAGTGTATGTTGCTTTGAGATGATGAAGATGAAGGTCTGTGCTTGCTACTTCCCACTGTCTAAACTCATGCCTTGTTAAATATATCACTGTATCTTTTGTGTGATCATTTGGTAATTATTTGCCTGTTTATGGCCAGGGTTTCCCATGGGACCATTATACATTACATTGAGAACAACTGTCTCACTCAGTTGCCTGTTTTCTCCTACACTAAAGAATTTTATACAAAGGTATTATTGTAAGGTGAGTCACTTATTAATTTCTGGGGGGTATGATGTGCTCCAGAAAAATCTCTTTATGGTAATTCAAGTGCAGACCTGTGAGTCTGAATTTTCAGGGAATTTTTGGCAGACCATCACAAAACATCACATGATCAATACCTAAGTGACAGATGGGTTAATTCAAGCTATAAATGGGACCAAATGGACTCACAGAATAAAGAGTGGAATTCCCAAGTGTCCACACACATAATATTTCAAGTCACCAACTGGAACCTCCCAGATTATAGCTTACAACTTCTCTGAGAGCCAATGGGATGTTCCAAGTTGTTTGTTGAAACTTCCCGAGTATTCATGAAACATCCCTGAGAGCCAGTGGGATGTCCCATGCTTTTTACTGGAACTTCCCAAAGCTCATGGATCATCCCTGAGGGCCAGTGGGATTTCCCAAGCCACAAGTTAGAACTTCCAAAGTATTTATGGAACATCCCTGAGAGCCAATGGGATGTCTGCTTGTTGGAACTTCCCAAATACCTGTGAAACATTTCAAACATCTAATTGGAGATGGAATAATATTAGAAATTTTATGTAACTCACTACTAAAGGGGCTTATAGACTGCTTAATGGAAAGCACACATAAAAATATGCATCTTTAAACCAAAAGGATCACAATATATTACTGTTTGGAGCTCTTTTACTACAGACTCAGAGAGTATACATTCTTTAAAAAATGGCCCAACTTGGGGTTACTTTTTGTAACAGGCTCTTTTTTTGAAACAGGAAGCTCTTTTTTCCGATTTGAACTGGAATTTGTTGAAAACAAAAAGTTCACCAGATACACCTTTTTGCAACCTTGTCAGACGCACTACCATTATGGTCTTTATAGTGGCCAGTGATTGGCCAGAGGCAATACCATATTAAATACAACATTAGGTTCATCACAGTGTCATGGACCAAACAAGTATGGTGTGACTATCACACAGGTACTATATTTGAAACACTCTGAGTATGACCCAATTTACCCTTACTTTCAAAGATTCAAAAATCCCATGTAACCTGTGACAACCTCAAGATTATCTTCAACAAGGTGAAGCAGTCTGAGTCTGACATGAAAATATTTCAACTTTGTTTTCGAGACCATCAGCTTTATTCTCAGACTACAGAATATATTACAGCCAAAATATGACTCTTAAAACCCCAAGGACATTTATGACTTTTTTTTTTCTGTTTTTATCATATGTCATAACTTCAATTTCAACAACCAGAATATTGAGTGACCATCACAAATAATAGTTGCAATTCCAGAGGGCTTGTGACTTGTGAAAAAGGTGTGCAACTGGTTTATATAAAGTCTGAATCATAGTCATAGTTAATATTTCTCCAATACATTTCTACTCCGAGTATTTCTCCTACTGATGGCGGTGTTGACATAGTAAGAAGTTACATCTACACTATACTTTGAACTACTAATACTTTACAACCTTTCCTTCACACATCTTCCATTATCTTCATTTACACTTACACTTTCCGCTTTTTCTGAACATTACATAAGCATCGGACTTTGAAACGCTGTCACAAAAAGTCGGACATGTCTTTCTCGACACCTCAGTCTTTACAATAATAGACTGAGGTATGTATAACATTCACTACAGATTTATATCAATCACTAACAAATATCTTACAGTCTTTCATTTGACAGGTACTTTACAATTTGTAGAGTCTTTACAATAATAGACTGAGTCTTTCATTTGACAGACATTTTAATAGCGCATTAGGCGGAATGGTAAAAAATAGATTGGGTGAGGACGAGAGCGTTGTTTATGTCAATGATGATTTCCTCGATGGGATCAATGGGAGAAGACGACGCAGATGAGTTTTGATAATACTCAGTGATCTGCTCGACCGTTTCTTCCGCGTCTGGGGTACGGGCTCCGGTAGGGATGGGGAGGACCG